TCTTCAATACAATGATCTCCTCTGAGATCAATCCGATCTTGCGGTGACCTTACTCTATGACAAGAGGAGTTGCAAGGCATGTATTGTATTGTTGCTGCCAAGGATTAAACAACAGGGTTCGAACATATTGCTTGGTCTTATTTTGTCTACATTATATCATCTTGCTTAATGCATTACTCTGTTTATCATGAACTTAATACTTTGAGATGCATGCTGGATTAACGGTCTACTTGTCACAGACGTAATGCCTATGTATTGATTATGCTTTGGATGATCATCATAAATATGCGTTATTCTGTCAAACAGTAATTTGTTTACCCACCGATGCTATTTGTGAGATAGATGTCTCGAGTGAACCTATGCCCCCCTGGGTCCATTCTTCATTATATTCAAGCAATCTTACAATTTCCTCATTGTTTTACTTTAATTTTATTTTTAATTTTATTCCTATATCTACCACTACCAGATTTGATACTTGCAACTGGCAAGAACAAGGAGACTGACGCCTCCTTGTGTGTGTGCAGGTACGGCTAAAGTTGTCTGTGTACCATCTCCTTCTAGTTTGATAAACCTTGGTTCTTAACTGAAGAAAATACTATCTGGTACTATACTAGACCACCCTTCATCTTCAGTAAATCCCAACATTTATCAAAAGTAATAGAAGAATTTTTGCATCATTGCTGGGAAGGCTTCACCAGACAAACCAAGTTCCTTCGCACAAACTTATCATTTCCTTTTTTTTACTCTCTTTACCTTTTGCCTTTTATTTGCCTTCTTCTTGTTTGCAAAAAAGAAAATCAAAAATACTAAACATATTTGTGTTACTACCTTTGCTTGAATCACTATTATGGTTACTCCTAAAACTACTAAACTTTGCGATTGCTCGAGTACTAATAATAATGATTTCATTAGTACTCCTATTGCTCCGCCGTCACTAGTGTGGAGTCTTATGATATTAAAGTTGCCTTGCTAAATCTTGTTATGAGAGAACAATTTTCTGGAACTCCTAATGAAGATGTGGAATTCCATCTTAATACTTTCGTTGTGCAGTATGCAAAAGATTAAAAATATGGATAATGATAATGTTCATGCCCCTGTTGCTGCTGCTTCGGCCACCTTTGTCATGTGGCCAAGCTCCAAGGTGATCCTAGTTTTAAAATGTTAGAACAATCGATCCATTTCCTAAGCTGAAACATGAGGGGTCTCAACTGCCCTGATCGACACTCCATTGCCAATGCCGCGATCTCCTCCTCGTCATGTCATGTCGTATGCTTTCAAGAGACAAAGCTCGACAATGTCGGTCAGTTCACGGCAGACTTCCTAGGTGGGCATAGGCTGCGTGGCTTCGTGCAGAGACCAACAACTAGTATCAGGGGTGTCATCTTGATGCTCTGGGATGATATCCTTGTTTATGTCTCCTGCATTAACCTCACTATGTGTTGCCTTTCCGCCATGGTCCGGGTGCGAGGAACAGATGTCCTCTTCAAGATTACTTATGTCTACGGCTCCACTGACTACTCCTGCAAAGACGCTTTCTTTGTCGAGTTGCTATCAGAGAAGCCGTCGCTTGAGACAGTGTGGCTTGCCACCGGAGATTTCAACCAAATATACCGGGCGAGAGATAAAAACAAGAGAAATGTTAACGCAGTAGGATCAATCGTTTCAAGGCAACACTTCAGAGTTGTGGGCTCAAAGAAATCCACACAAAACCAGAGACTTACTCAACGAGAGGGAAACCCAACCCTGTGCAAACTAGACTCTTTCTTCTGCAACGCCGAGTGGGACACAACCTTCAACACCAATGTCCTTACTGCGCTCTCCTCCTCCGTGTCCAACTACTATCCACTACTTCTTGCCGATGACAAGGGACCAAGAAGACCTCGGGTCTTTAAATTCGAAAAAAATTGGGCATCCATGTCGGGTTTCAACAAGGTGGTCCAAAAGGCATGGAACGAGAGGGTAGAACACACCGAGCCATACCAAATCCTCTACCACAGGCTCAAAAAGATGGCGCTCCGCCTCTCCGAATGGAGTAGGGACTTGTTCTCATTAAGGATTTCAATGAATATTTTTTGGAGGAGAATCCTTTCGAGGTGAGGATGCAACAATGGACAATCTTTCAAGATGATGATACTGGATGGACGAGCA